TTTAATTAAAGAAAAATATATAATAATATTAATTTAAATTAACTAAAGATTAAAATTTATATTTTTAAATAAAGTTTTGCCTATAAAAAGGTGAATGGAGTTTATTAATTCTCTTGTGCGGGTGTTTGATCAGTTCTCAAAAACCGTAATTTAATCACAACCAAACAAATTAAAGGTCGTGGAAGGGAACATTAAATAAACTAAAGGGGAAAAGCATTAGTAATTTACTGTAGAGAGAAGAAAGACACCAAATTTAACAAATTAAAAAAAAAAAAATGAAAAGCGTGCTTGACCAACTAGCTGAATTCAACCATACAAAAACAAACAAAGCACTGAGCTTGTGGAATACGCTCAAGTTATTAAAGAAATAAAGATAGATTGACTCGTTGACTTGATTACCAGCCGGTCTAGTCTATCTTAAAAACAGAAGTGTTAATTTCGAGCTGGTCTAATCTCCCTTGAAAACACAAGTGTTAATTAATCAACTATGCAAACCTTATTTCCTGGAAGCATCCTATTAAAGTTATTGAAAACATGCATCAGACGAAGGAAGACTAACCTTTGATTATAAGCAGGATCAAGTTCTTTAAATCAGAAATAAATTAAGAAAAAAACCATTTGTGTGATCTCTATGTAATTTACCTCTATTTTTATAATTTACTTAATAAATAACTTTTCTATCAACTAAACATGTTGACTAGAATGAGAGTATCAAACTTGAAATTTAGATTTCAGTTTTATTTCTATTGCAGCTTTTTTTTCATTTCTTACAAACTACATTGAATGGTGCAATCAAACATTTAAGACATAAAATGATACAATAAAACAACATAAAGCAAAATTTATTGCACACAAAAGGGGAAATAAAAAGGTAGTCTTAAGGAATGCAGTGGCTAAGAAGAAAGAAAGCCTGAAATTTCACCTTTTTTCTCTTTTTTATGAGATAAAAGGAGAAAAGTGGAAATTAAAATTGCTTTTGAAATTGTTTAAATACTTAATTTTTTTGATATTAGTTTATTAAGAGTATTTAAATTTTTTATTATTATTCTTGATATTTTAATTATAAAAAGGGACTAATTTTTTACGATCTCATAAAAGAATTATCTTAACATTTTATTTCTGTGTCCTTGAATTTTGAAAAAGCATTTTAAACCTGAAAAACAAGAAGCAGAGGCGACTTGTCTGCTATTTTCAATGAAATACGTAGTACAATTAAACGAGATGACAAAGTTACAAATAAACTTGAAACATGCCATCTCCCTTAGGTTCCAGGAAAAAAGTGATTGGCACCTAAAACTTGAATGTTCTTTGCAATCTAGCAGCCTACGTACATTGTTACCAACAAACAAAGCTCTGCCATAATCAAACAGGGGTAGGCCTTCAGGCTACCGAGGCATATCTTAACGAAGTTGAAAACTAGGAAACAAACATGAAACCGCTGACGATCTAACTAATGAAAGAGTCTAATGAGTCTAACGAATTTTCAAAAAAAAAAAAAGCATGGTCAACAAATTACTTTTTATTAACAGAGTGGCTTTTGACCCTTTTTGGGTGTTGCAATAACCACACCATTCTACATAGATACAACTGCAATGAATTGGAAATGGTGGAAATGTTTCTCCCTATAGCTAAGCTAGCAAGGTTAGTAGATAAATATTTGTATAATATGATGCATGCATGTAGCCACTTTCAACAAGCAAAGTTGTTTTCTATTTTATTTGCATACATCACGCATTTTGACTTGTATTCACCTACTGACTCAATTACTTGTTGACTTTTGAAATTAGTATTTTTTAAATATTATTATCTAATTTTAATAAATTAATATGTGATTATAATCACATTTAAAATACAATTATTTAGAGTTTGTTCTTAAAAAATGTCACTGGTAAGACTAAA